AAATTTTCATTTATAAAACCCTTATTATGCTATCAAACTCATCTATAACCAATATAACTAATTTCTAGTATTCCAACACCTTATAATCTCTCATAGTTCATCCAAATTCTTAAAACCAAGAATCTTACTAAATTTTCCATGTAATCCAAACTTTGATTTAACACTTATAACTTCTTATTCACACCTATGACAAGTCAATTTTAGTTTCGAATTCAACTTATCAACTCTTTTCCAGAAATTTATTTAGAAACACATTCTCTTTAATCTCTTATAAATTATTCATCTTTTAATTATAAGACAACTTAAGCTTTCCTTAAGCTTAAGTATCACCTAAGGATCAAAACTCAACCTTTAATTCAACAAATAATCAACTAATTAAGAAACTCACCTTTGTTTGTATGCTTCACGGTTCGAGAAGAAGAAGATGAATAAGAGAAGTCTGGAAACATTTGTTTCCCAAACATGCTTCACGTAGGTTATAAAACACCCACAAATAATAATTAATTATCTCTCATGCTAAAAGACCCATTTGTTCTTTTAATTCCTCATTCTTTGCTAAATTATCATACACAAAACATTTCAATCAAGTCCTTAAACTTTTTAATTTATCTAATTTGGTCACTGATTTTAAAATCTCACAATTTGATCACTAACCCGGTATTGAGGATGTTACAAGTTTATTCTATTTGTAAATGCTAAAATTTAAACCCTACTTTTATTAAAAGATTTAGTATCACATCCTACTAAATAAAACGATTGTTTGTTGCGTTTTTGTGTAATTGAGTAACTTGAAAAACGATCCCAAATTGAAAATGTTGAAAATCATAATGAGAAAGTTATACATGGGAGGGCATTTTTTATACATAAACTATGTAAAATAAAGTTTATATAATTTTATGTATTTGAATTTGAGTTCTCTAAAATCATATTTTTAGACTATAAAACCTACATTTTAGATATAAACTTTATTTTTTAAACCCTCAATATTATATATAATATTAAAAGAGATAAATTTATATATAAAAAATTACATAATTTGTATGAGATAATATATAGTAGAGTAAACTACATACATTTAGTATCTAAATTATCAACATTTTAGTACTTAAATTTTATTTGTTTTAAAACTATACCTAACGTTTGCCTTTTATTTTATTTTAGTATCTCGCCGTTAAAAACTAAACGGAACTTATACATGTGGCATTTTTATGGATAAATTACATCACTTATTTATCTTCTCACTCTTATTTTGGTCACTAAAGTTTAAAAATTTTCAATTTAATTACTCAACTTTCAAATTGCTCATGTTTTAATCACTCTAATTTATTTTATTAATAATTTTTGTGAAATGAAATTTGTTATTATTATTTTATTAATATATAATTAAGATAAAAATTAAATTCGAAAGTTGAGTAATTAAATTAAAAAAATAAACTTCAATGACCAAAATAAGAATGAGAATATAGTTGAGTGATGAATGATATAATTTACCCATAAAAAGTGTCATGTTGTAACAGTTCCACTAAGATTTTAAAGGGAGGTACAAAGACGAAATAAAAATTAAACGTTAGGCATGATTTTAAAACAAATGAAAGTTTAGGTATTAAATCGAAACAAAATTGACAGTTTAGTAACTAAACATATATTTTATCCTATATATTATTATGTATTGAATAAAGTAATGTTATATTTTCTTTCATTGCTTGAGCATCTCTGCGGATCTCGATAAGGGAGAAGGAAGTAAGAATTATTATGAATACAATAATAATAAAGAAAGATAAATGGGATGTGGGGAAGAGAAGATAAGGTGGTGCAAGTGCAAGTGTGATAATGCAAAGTAAAAGAGAAACCAACCCAACAAACAACAATATCTTTGCTTCTCTGGATTCTTTTTATCCTATCCAACCTCTCCTTGCAGAGAACATGTCTCTTTGTTCATGTCATTCTCAAATATAAAATATTTCAACAAATTAAACCCTTTCATTTATTAAAGTTTACTTACAGACAGAAGAAATTGTTGCTCTTTTACCTTCTATGCTTCTGGTTAATCTGTCAATCTCGGACAGGTCTTGTGTGTATTGAATTGCACAAGGCAAAGTAATGATAGGCAATACCTCTATTTTCTTCCACTTTTCTCTTCTTTTTTTCCCTCCGCAGAAGAAGTCTCGTATATATTCGAATCCCAAACCGTGTTGGGTAAATTGCTTTTCTCTCACTCAATTTTGTTTATTTTTCTGTTTTTGTCACTCAACTTTAAATATTTTTATTCCATTTTCTAAAATTTTGAATTTCCCTTGTTGGTCCACTTATCGTTTAACATCATTTCAATTTTTGGTAATTTTATGCACAAAATTCTTGCAAATTTTCCTCTCAAACCTAAATTTTCATACTTCCCTTGAATTACTTGAATTTGAGTATTTTTTAAAATTTGAACAATAAAGAGGTCAAAAAAAAAGTAATATATCTCCATTTTGTGTTAATCATCCAAGAGTTGTTCAAAACTTTGGTTTGAAGTTTTTTTAATTTCAATGAAAAATAAACTGAAAATAAGAAATAATAGTGAAAATGAATTTTGGCCACGAGAAGAAGAAAGTTAAAATTATAAGAAAAAAAGAAAATCAGAAATGAAAAGCTCCAAAACGCTGGGTTTGGGTGCTGGAGTTAGACAATGAATGATTGAGTGACAAAAATTAAGTGAAAAATTAAAATATTAATGATGTAATTAAAAGAAAAACTTAAATGACCGAAACAAAAGCACATATAAAATTAAGTGACCAAAAAGTTAAATCCGAAGAATGTAATGCAAGAGAGATATCATATAATCCTTGCAAAAGCCTCAGCTCTGAAAAAAATTTACGCTTGCCTTCAATATTTTCGACATTTGTACATTACGTGCATGGGATAACTGTCAAACTGCCGTTCACAGTTTTATATCCTTAGTTTAAAGTGTACAGGTGCACATCTTAAAATTCAAATTATTTGTTAATTAATTAATTATTTATTTGATTAATAATATACATCTTGAACTTTATTTGTGGTTATGCGATTTTTTTTGTTTATTAATGTATAATGCTTACTTTGAAAAATATTTGTTCTTGGTTATACAGAAAATTAACTAAGCTGCCACTGGGGCAATTAATTAATTCACCTGCTTGTGTCTAACAAAAGCGGCAAAATCAAAGCTTTGTCGGAGGTTTAACCTAAGCCTTCTAAATTCACTACTTATCCACGTCTACATCAATATATCATTGGTTCAGGCCCAGGGGTAAGGGAAAAAATTGAAATCCCCCCGTGTGAAAACAAATTTACACTGGTTCGTAACCTGTAAGCAACCAGAAGCACCTGTAACATTAAATTCAAAGAGGTAAACTTGATTTTGTCTGAATTTTCACGTTATTGTCTTTCTATTGATTTCAAATCTGGGTTTGACGAATGATTTCGGGATTTTGTTTTGTTGGGGAACAAAAAAATATTATCAACTAGGTAGAGAAAAATCTGTTTAGTCTGTGCAGAGAAAGCTGTACCCGTACCAAATCTGAAGCCAACTCTAAGCTGTTTAGAAACAATAAAACAAAAAAATACTCAATTTGTTAGTACAACCTTTGGGGTTTTTTTACTTTTAGGTACATAAATATATTGATATTTTTAGAATTTCCTTTGATCAGATGCAGCTTCTGGAGCCAAGGTGAAGCTGTTTTCTTTTTGGTTTCCATCTTCAGCTGTGAATTATTAAGGTGGTGTTTATTTTTACAGAAATAAAAGATCTACAGTCTACGAATCATATCTGTAGACATCTACAGCAGAAGAAATATATCAAAACTCTACAATTTATAAAAAAAAAACTATTTATTTTTTAACGTCTTTACAATCAACTCCGAGCCAATTGTTAGGAATTTCAAGCAGGACGGCGTCAGAAAAAGAAACCTCGAAAACTGCGTCCTTTTTTCAAAGGGAGTGCAGAAAATGAGGACGGTGGTTTACGCTGTCAGCTCAGCTGTCTATTTCGCCCCATCAAATCTTATTGCATTTCACGTTACAGCTCATTTCTCAATTTCACTCGCCCAATAGTCATATCATAAATATAAGAGTATTTACACTTTTTATATTTATATTTAATTTTAAAGTGTAATTTGATATTTAATTAATTTGATTTCAATTTTTATTTTTTATTTTATTATATATTTAAATTGAATTTGTAAGAATTTAAATGTATATACATGATTTGTTTTCATAAATGTTTATATAAATAAATAAATTTATTCTTTAAAAATATATTATTAAATTTAGAAAAATTTGTTTAATCATAAAGCTTTAAATAGAAATTTAATTAAGATAATATTTTATTAAAAAATATTTAATTATTATATATTTGGGTAAGAGACAATTTATTATGTAAGCTTTGAATTACAGTTAAATCCGGTTCCAATACTATTGTTGAATAAACTTAATTAATCATTCTCACATGATATATTGGCCATTCATTTCGCAAATTACTTGAGCGTTGATGAAAAATATGACAAGTGTTTCACGCTTAAGGTTGAATTAGTCATAAACAATAAATGTTTAGGGATCAAAGAGCAAAACAGAAGAAAATAAGTTATCACAAATATTACTCATCCAGACCTTATATCCAGATTTTGCCATATGAAAATGACAACAAATAGTTTTAAAATATTGCAGATAATATGAATAATGCTTCGAACGTCATAAACAGAAAATAATTGTCCATCTCCACATTTAAGTATGCAATCATGTTGTTCCAAAAGAGTTTTAAATATTTTATATATTTGTATAAAAGTATATAATGTTCAACACTTCATACCATATATAGCCATCTATCCCACCATAGATCGATAGCCTGTTTCAGTCTTTCATATATATCACTATTTTATTATTTATTTTCCATCCCCTTCACTGCAAATTCTGATAAAACTCCTCCTCTTCGCCATCACCCTGTTTTTATCAGGTTGCTCCCACAGTCTCACTCTGTTGCAATGGCCATGGAAGTTGAATGGTTAAAGTCTACAGCAGAAGATCAAATGGAAATGGTGATGACGATGATGCAGCAGATGGAAAAGCTCCCTGAATTCTGCGGGGCTTACAACGACGTCGTTGTATTACCTCAAGCTGAGCTTGCTGATCATGCCAGGCCCAGCAGTAGTCCTTCCAGTAATAGCATCAATGGCATGACACATTTTGTTGAAAACCCAACCGTTGGTTCACCTGGCCCATTCATAAACATGCCAACCACACCCACTATTCCATTCAATGGTTCAACCACGGTTCAAGAACCTGGAGGTCCGAGTTTCTCCTTTACCCGAGCAGGTGCAAATGCTTATTCCACATCTTCCCGGAAGAAGAATTCAGTGGCTGCAATGAGGGAGATGTTATTCCGAATAGCAGCAATGCAGCCTATTCATATAGACCCTGAATCGGTGAAGCCACCTAAGAGGAGGAACGTGAAGATATCGAAGGACCCCCAAAGTGTGGCGGCGAGGCACCGGAGGGAGAGGATAAGCGAGAGGATAAGGATACTTCAAAGACTTGTCCCCGGAGGAACCAAAATGAACACTGCTTCTATGTTAGACGAGGCAATTCACTATGTCAAGTTTTTGAAGACTCAGGTGCAATCACTGGAGAGGGCAGCAATTAACAGGCCAACCGGGATAGGGTTCCCTGTACCAATGTCAAATGGGATTTTTCTTCCAATGAGAAAACCATATCACCCTACTCAAAACCTTCAGGGGCTTGGAGATGCTTGGTTATGCTAGCTTAATAAAAGGAGGCGTCTTGGTATAAATTATAAACCTTTTTTTTCTAGACGTATAAAAAAATAATTAAGTAAAAACGAACCGATACTCATGATGATGGAGAATTAATTAGATTGTGTTCATGATTAGGCAACGTAATCCAGGTTGTATTGCTATATCAGATGGCCTAACTGTTAAAGAAATAATCAGAAGTTGGTATTTTTTTCTTCTTATTCATGATCATTTCTCTGTTTTAGCGATGAGCATCAATGGATATAGGTATGATCCGAAATGTGCATTGAAAAGTAGTAATTAATGGGTGTTGAAATGAAGATTAACCCACGAGAGGTGAGGAATTGAAGGAGCCAAATTGGGTGCGATTACGGGTGATGTTTTGATGAATTTCCAAGTCATTTTGAGAGAGATAAATGCATGGGGAAATCCACGTGAAGACTGACAAAGCGGTGGATGGGATTATAGAATAGCAATGTGGCAGTTCGTTGTACACTTGGGACATGGTTTTCAGAACCGGACCTGTTAGCGAACCGGTCATGTTACCGGTTCGTTGGTTTAATCGGTTTAATCGGACCACGTTATAATTATTTAAAAAAATTAAATAAAATATCAAAAATATTTAATAAAAAATAATTTTTTATATCACAAGTCATATTCAAAGCAAGTCATAACATATATAAGTTAAAAATCATAAAATCAAGTGAAACAAAATGATTCAAATTAACTACAACATAATATTTAAAGTAAAACATATTAAATGATAAATATAATTATATAACTATAATTAAAAAATAAATTTAGAGCTAAAAAAATCATAACAAAATGATATTGTTTGGTTTATTTATTTTTTAATAATCCTACATGGCTAAGAAACATAGAAGAGCATCCCAAAAGTTTAAAGAGTAAAAATATGAGAACAAAACAATCTTACATTGTTAAGAAACATAGAAAAGCATCCCAACTAACTTCTATAAATAATAGAGGTAATTTGACATTCAAAATCATGGAGCCTTTTGGTGAGCATTGAGTGAACTATTCTTTCAGTTTAATCAAGCTCGAATTTTAGGCTTCAATCGAGCTTCTAAATTTTTTTTGAGTTCAAGCATTTTCGAGTTCAAGTTTAATATTATATTCCGAGTTCGAGTTGAACTTGATAATTTTTAGCTCGTGAGTTTGAGTCGAGTTGAGCTTACTTTTAAAGTTTTCAAGTTCGAGTCGAGCTCATCAATACTCGAGTTTGACTTGGCTCGTGTAACTAACGACGTCGTTTGGTTTAATTTTTTAAAAAAAAAAATTGGCGGTTTTTTCCGATTTTTCCCTTTTTTTCGGTTTTCAGTCGGTCCAATTCGAACGGTTCAACGGATTCGACCGGTTCACTAATAACGGTTCAACCGGTATAGATTAAATCGATTAACAACGATTCTCATAACCGACCGATCCAGTCAGTTTTCAAAACACTTCTCGAGGATACTCCACTCTGCCACCCCTTTCTCACCTAAGCCCTACTTTGCACTTAATTTCAACCCAAAACCTATTCAATCAAATCAAATACACATGGATCAATTATGAAGTTTTGAAATCCCAATTAAATCTTTAATGCCTACATTATTATCCAAGTCTCTCTCTATTCTTTGTAGAAATGGCTATTATACGTCCAAATAAGCATGCATTACGTGCTGACCATGGTATTAAATTGCGGTGTAATGTAGTAACGGTCGCATCGTAACGTTTTGAAAGTCACTACGACGTAATATTAATATAACGCAATTGCCGCGACAGCCGCAATACGTTAAAAAATCGTTCGCGACAGTCACAATACGTTACGTAACGTCAGCAGCATCCGCAACACCGCAACCACGACAGATGCCACAACCGCTATTTTATACTATGGTGCCGACAGCACCCATTTTGTTTTCACATCGAAGTTTATACTTATACTGTAGTACAACGTGCCCATTTGCTTTTTCTTTTAAGGTTTGGATGTAAAAGAACACTAATATTACTCGACTTTCTACTTCCTTTTACAAACAATTCTTATAAACGTAGAGTTGTGTTGTGATCTTAATTAAACTCTATATTTCATGAATAAAAGTTTCAGACAGTGAGTATTTATAATAAAATCAAAAGGATGGTTATGTTTTTCATGTGAATTATGAAAGAAAAGGGCGGGAGAGAGTTTTTTTTTTTTAGTAGTTGTAACATATATTTATTCATCTTAAAAAAAACATATATTTATTCAAGATAGTTGCTACGATAAAAAACACCCCATACACGGGTAATCTTATCTCAAGAATCCTGCACGAATCAAACAACTTTGGTAGTAAATGAATTATTGTTATTCTTTGAGGTTCTGGATTCGAATATTAAGGGTGTGAGTTTTCAATATCAATGCTGCAGAAATATCTTTAAACAGATACTACTTATACTTACTCATATTAATAATAATAAAAAAAACAGTCTAATGAATCCCCCGTCGATATACAAATGCACATTAGTCCCCTATCATTTTTGTTTATACAGTGTCTCCACATAAGCTACAAACATCACAGGAACGGGAGAGGTTGAAATAACTAAAACGTCATTTTCTTGATGGGAGGCATTACCATCAAAAGTCCTTGGATTGGGTGGGCTTCTCTTCTCTCGTAAATGGTAAAAGATTGAAAATATGCATCTCAATCTAGGAGAGATATGGTCAAACATGTTATCAGAAAACCCATGTGATATATCCCACTAAGGCTCCAACATCAGCACATACAGGGACGGCCGAGGGGAGCCCCCTTGTCCTCTACATTTATGCCATCAATCCATCCCCCTCTAACTTTCAAAATCTTATGACTGATGCGTCAAAGAGTACTTCATGGCTTCAAGATCAGAGGACTAAGAAATTTGAGATTATAAATGTTGAGATTTGAACTTACCACAACTAAGAAAGTAGCATACATTTTGTCAGGAACTCTCTCGTGATGACCATATCGATGCCACTAAACTCTGATGCAAATTTACCAGTTTCGTCTGTCTTATTCTTACACCAAACATGAAAACGTGAACATTACTATCTATATAACCTTGAGAGAAAATGAGCATCGATAAATATCCAGGCGCCCAAGGAGATAAAAATGAATTTTGTGACGATAAAGTGGAATATGCACCAAAAAAAAAGAGAAAATTGACTCGTGTTACAAAAACAAAACATTAAATATGTTTGTTTGTTGGTTGGTCGGATTAGATTTTAGTGGAAAAAGGGGTCCCTCCGACCCAGTGGAACAAGGACATAAATCTAATATATTGGGACAATGTTCTTTTCTCCTATCTGTCCTTTCTGAGGGGTGGGATGTATTCTTGAAGAATCATGGAAAATTTTGTACCGATTCTAGTTTCCAGAAACGTGATTCATCAAATGATGCCGAGGCTTTGACGCCGTGGAAAATTAAAGGAACGAGCATCAACTCCATTAGATTACCTTGTTCTTGGTCTTTATCGACTCTACCATAATATAACAATCGGTGGTCCAAAGACTATACAACCATTGTATTTAACTTGGTTGTAATGTCTCTTTTCTCCATTGCATTCAAAATTATGATTTAGGATAAATAACAAGAAACTATTCTTTTTAGAATTTATATAGATCTGAAGTAGTAGAAGGATATATTTTGTAGACATTGTATACAGAAATCAGATTATATAGATCCAAAACAGATTGTCATTCAGAACTTCTAAAGACAAACTTGCAATGCTTGGCATCTATCCCATCATTACTGTTACTAGTGAGAAATAAAAACTTAAATGAGATGAATGATATTTCCATCCCATGGCAAACTGCCATAGTAAGAAATAGACTGAAAAAAGCTTGAAAGGTTTATTTAGATACACATGATTTTATTAGTCAAACATTCAGGAAACCATGGAAGTCGTCCCAGGACATGACAATTGGGGTCTTGCACTGATTTGATGGAGGTAGCCGTGCTTCATTCAATCAAAACTGTAGCGACACCAATTTTGTGTTGGTGTAATAGTTGCTTCCTGTACAATATTCATTGTCTCCAGTGATCTTTGTTCTTCAAACTGGTAAGAGAAAAGAAACATAACCAGTTAAGCAATCTATTTAAAAAGAATAAAGGGGGAAAAATGAAAACAAGTCACCCTTGCAAGCAGAAATTACCCAGCATTTCTGGTCTGAATGAACCAGTAACTGATAGCTAAGGCATTAAATAGCATGGCAGTTGAAGCAACCACTCAATGAACCCATCTGGCGGGTTCTCCTGAAAGATATAGCCATATGCGAGGTCTTTGCCTGATGGGCCTGGTTCGCCAGCATCGAACTTCTCATTTCGTGAGCCCTCTTCGGAGCTGATCTTAGCTTATTCATTATCTTATCCATTGATGACGATCTCTTCTTTTCTAGCTTCATCTGAGAAATACATTGTTTTGTCAGTAATGAAGAAGAAAAAGTTTTCGTCAAGCTAAAGCTGTTGCATTTTCACCACAAATTATCAAAGTTTTCAGTCATGATTGTCTCCTTTTTTAGTAGTTCTATATATTCTATTAAAGAGAAAAACCTAAAGTTCCGACAATTGCAGAACAATTAACACTTTCTACTCAGTTCCAAATCATCAAGATGTTACATGATAACATTAGCATCTAAATGAGCAAGCTAGACAATGAAGTAAAGGAAAGAAATACTAAATTGTACTGCTAGATGATTTTGGTTTTTCTTTATCAAGGTTGATCATTGACTTTAATATCTATTTACGTTACTTCAGTTATTAATGCTATTCAGGAGAAAAGAAACATCTAACTTCCTTATGGCTGCCTCAGCTTGTGCCTTCTGCAGATTTTCCCATGCAGTGATTTTGGCTTCTCTTTTGATCCTGCAAAAGATGAAGAAATTAGCATGTGAATCTGATCAAACTTGCGTTACAAAAATTAATGTCCTCTCATATTGATCAGTTTTTTATACATATATATATCTGAAGATTGAAGTTGACATGAACATTTCAGAAAACCTTTTCAGCCAACTAGGCTATACTATTTACTTATTTGAAGTGATAAGTTCAATGCAGTTTCTTAGGTAAGATCTATCAAGTAACATAACGCAAATCCCACCCAATCTAGTACCTGAAAACTGACATGAGCCTCATAGTGTTTACTATATTAAGCATTATTCAAAAAAGAATGTGATGTGATCAGGGTTGAACAGAAAAAGGTTTGATCGGAAATTTTATGATGTTACTGACGGGATCTTTGAGTGCTTGATTATAGTAATGAACCAACAGGATGTTTACTCTTTAGCCGAAGGCACTTTGTCACTTCCAAAAGTTGTTGATTATAATCATATGAAAGAAATAGAGGCAAAGTGATAAAGTAGACGTACTTGGAAATGCTCTTTCCCGTCTCTGTCACATCCCGTGTTGTCGTCCAAGTATCAACAGCTTTTGTTCTCCAATCATCAACAATTTCGGTGCTCTTCCCAGTGTTTTGAGAGCTATGCTTCTTTGACCACCTAGTCATGGTGACTCTTTCATCTACCGGCACATCTCTCAGTTCTGATTTAGAGGAATGGATGTTTGACAGTTCCATAATAGGCAGAGCCGATGAGGAGGAGGGCGAGAGAGAAGGCATTTCTTTGGGAGATGAGTGGGTACTACTCTGTGGGCGCATTTGGGTTGCCATGTCTCTTCTAGAGACAGTTCGAGAAATGTCAGTGGTTGCATCCTTGACATCAAGATTTTCTTCTGCATCTTTGGTGAAAAAACAATTGGAAAGATGAATATAAAGTACGTGGCCATAGTCAATACCATGATGATGACAATATAAAGTAAATGGTCATAGTTCAATACCATGATGATGACAACCTATCTCTTGATATTACATCAAGGTTAGATTTAGAGAATGTTTATATTGATATTTCAATGATTATGATATTAAGAGAAAGATTATAAGTTCCATAAATTTGGCCAATGTAGAGAAATAAAAACCTACTCTGTTCATGTCCACCAGCCTGGACTTCTACATTATGTAATGTTTAAACAGTTTCTACACAAAGACTTATGTAATTAGTAATCATACTTTTTTTTTAAGATTTATTAACAAGGGCATTAAATTGTTGACCAAATGAAGTTCCAATTTACACATGATGCACCGGATACATTCTTAATATTTGTTAGAGTTATGACCCAATTTCTTCTTAGATCAGGCCATGAAGTTACAATCAAAACAATAGTTAAAGTGTAACAAATATTGTATTTTTCGACATAGTAAAAATTTCTTCTCCTCTGTCCATGATTTTTTCCTTTCAGGTTTTTCACATAAATTTTGTGTTTTTTATTTTTTTATTCGCCGTTCCAAAAATTATACCAATATTACTATTATCAGTTTGGATGACAAGACAATCCAAATGGAGAAAAACTTTCATGGTGGATCTCATAAAATTAGAAGGGCACTCATCCTACGGGGATAATTGATGTAGGCCAAGAGCTCATAACAACATCTAACCCAGAAATTTCGCTAGATAAAGATGGGCATTTACCTCGAAAAGGTAACGGGCCATGCAAGGCTCAGTCCGAACAGCATATTCTCCACCATGGTAATGAGAATGAGTTGTCAAACCATCAACTGCAATTGCGCCAGCGGAAAAAGGAGAACCGACCATGAAATTCCCTGGAGAGTACAGAGAATAGTGAGCAATCCCTGGAGGACCAAGTGGAACACTCTTTGATTTCGGTCTTCTCTGTGGAGCCACAATAGATTGCCTTGCACCAGTTTCCACAGAAATAGGACTACAAATCCACCTCTCCGCATCTTCCCATTTTGAAGGCAAAGTCCTTCCATTGTTAAAAGCCAACAACCCAGCAGTATTCCCCTGCCTACTTCCACCATTGTTGTGCAATGGAACACGCTCAGAACTCCAACCCTTCTGCATCCCAAAGCTCGAGTGATGATGATAATTGGGTGTCCCAGGACTAGGAAATGCACCCAATTTCCGCGTCACCACCGAGTTTTTATTCACAGCCCCCCACCGTGGAGACAAACCAGAGACATTATTTAGATCTAATGAAGCCGGTCTTCGCCTATCAGGATTCTTCAGCAAAGCGTCAGATCTAGTCCTTCTATCCTGAGTCCTGACACTCTAATTTATACAATTTGCAATTATTCTTTTCGAAATATAGTAAGCTAAAGCAAATACAAGTTTTTTTTAAATAAACAAAAGGGTACCTTTAAGAGCTAGGGAGAACGAGTTTCTTGCTGAATCTCTGATTGAGTATCGTCCTCTGTGTGAGCTGCATCGTTTTCTTCTTTTTTACAGCGTAGTATCCCGAAAGGGAATAAAGGAGGGGGCGAACAAATGGAAAATGGCAATGAGTGTGAGTGAATTTGAATTTTTGTGTGGCTTAATCGTTTTCTTTTTTTGGTGTAATTTCAGTTTTAACTTTTTCAAAAGAAGCTAATAGTGAAAGAAAACATTGAAAGTACCTTTCGCTTTTCCTCCTTTTCTGGAGAGAAATGTGCTTATGGACAATTATAGCTTTTTTCAGATCTGGACCTGAATCTGGTCCACTCGAACTCTCATTCTGATCTCCACTTTCTTGTCCTGCCAAATGCTGCAAAAGACATTCACATTTCAATTTCAAAAACTTGTTTCCTTTTTTATCCTTTCCAAAAGAGTCGAAAAAGAAAGAAAAAAACTTATAACAGGTAAGGAAGAAACATGCAAGTTTGCCAACAATGATCGATCACAATGTACACCGTTATAGCTTGCTCTGCTTATCGCACTGAAAATTAGAGATGAGAAAAAGTTGAGCGATTAGAGAAGTTATTAAGAAGCGAGAGAATCTCGGTCATGAGCATCAGAAGCAAAAGAACAACGATCGACACTAGCGGAAGCCGAAGAGAAGAGGCTGAAATTCGATTCTATATAAAATTTTAATTATATATTTTTTTTTTGTAAATCTAAAATAGTTTAAGGAAAAATTTTATAATTTAACTTCGGAGATTTTTTATTATTCAATGACAGAATAAAGATATTTTTGAGAGAAAAAAAATTAAGGACATTTTAGTCTAAAACGTCGGTAATCCACAATACCTAAGAAAATAGAGGTAATGACATTTCTGATAATATAGCCAAAAAAATCTACTATTGATAATAAAACATTACAGAGAATGAGATTCCCGACCAACAAATATGAGAATGTAGATTTCATTTTTTGATCCAAACACCCCCTTAGTGGCTTTGATGCCTTTGATGTTATGGTGCTTTTGATTCATGTAATGGATGATTATCAGTGAGAATAAAATATTATCGAATAATAGAATTACTGAAAATGTTATATTTTGTGTTTGGTTGGTATAACAGTAATGCAAGATTACAGTATTTGGTTAAATGAATAAAAGATTATTAGAATGTATATTTTATTAAATTGACCTTATTATATATTTGTTTTTTAACAAGTTGAATTCTACTATAATACTATTATAATTAATTTATATATTTTATTTAAAAAATTTAAATTCATAAAATTTATATAATCTTTTTACAAAATTGAAAAGATAAATAAATTTAATGAAATGGTAAAATTTTATTTTAATCCTTGAACTTCATATAAAATTCTAATTATGGATTTTTTTTTGTAAATCTAAAATAATTTAAGGATAAATTTGTAATTTAACTTTCGTAGAATTTTTATTATTCAACGACAGAAGAATGATATTTTTGAAAAAAAAATATAAGGGTATTTTAGTCCAAAACGCTGGTAATCTAACAACACCTAAGAGAATGAAGGTAATCACATTCCCAGTAATATATCCAAAATATCACTGTTGGTAATAAAATATTACCGAAGACTGAGAATGTTGGTCAACCAAATAAGAGAATGTTGGTCAACCAAACGAGGGAATGATGATTCATTTCCATGGTAATCTCATATACCTCAAACCAAATACAGCCTTAGTCCTGGGATTTTTGACCGCCTTCGAATTGACTGTAAAGCCCTTGACTGTAAGATTATATAGTTTTAATGAGGGTAATAATGGCTTTTGGGAGTAATTATATTGGATAAATGACGGGGTTGTCACGTTCTATGAGGATTTTCTTTTTTGATAAGATGGATGCTCGACTTTATTATGAATTATTCTTTCGTCCAAGACAAATTATGTGCATTAAACGATGGTGTCTACTAGGAGAAAAACGGCACTGTTATTGACGAACCGAGAAATGAAATATATGTTAAAAAACATAGAGAAGAAAGAAATAGCATGAACCAGAAGATCTGAAGTCAATGCCAGATGCTTGGTTCTTTTTAGATTGTTGGGCTACGGGCGCCCCGTTTTAACATAACCAAACCCTAACGCTATGAAAGAAATAACGGCCGAAACAGATTAAGGGGGTCACCGTTTCATCCCAATCGAAGTTGGAGCTGAACTTTGCTGGGGGTTCGTTGTTGTAGCTTGGTCCGAAGTAGATAGGGGAGGCAAGAAGATGGAGGACGGAGAGATACAGGAGGAAATGGTGGTGGATGTGAGATCACATTCAGCACCTCCGCCGCGCAAGCCCGAGAAATCTCCTTACGACATGCTTAAAGAGAACAAAGCCTCGGTCGAAGAGGTCGTCGCCAAAATCCTCTCGGTCAAAAAGGAAAACAAACCAAAATCTGAACTCAGAGAACAAGTCACCCAAATGTTCCTTAACTTCGTCAATCTCCGCCAGGTTCTCTTTCGGATATCTATTTATCGATCGAAAGGGGGAAACTAATTGAAATTGAAATCTCGTGCTTTAATTTCGTTGTTTTTTTCCTTTCAGGTGAATCGTAGTATACTGTTGGAGGAAGACAAAGTGAAAGCGGAGACGGAACGTGCGAAGGCGCCGGTGGATTTTACGACGCTGCAGCATCACAATTTAATGTACGAGAAGAGTCATTATTTGAAAGCTATAAAAACTTGCAAGGATTTCAAATCTAAGTATCCTGATATCGAGCTTGTGCCCGAGGAGGAGTTTTTTCGCGACGCGCCTGAAGATATTAAGGGTTCCAATTTGTCTGAGGATAGCTCTCATAATTTGATGCTTAAGAGGCTTAATTATGAGTTATTCCAGGTAAATTACTAAATAAATCTAAGTTGAATAGATAAACATACTATTTTCTTTCTATAATTTCAAATTTTATGGGAATTTTGAATCTTTTCTACACCACCTTTATGTTTAGGACAACATTTAATGTGTTGAAAGGAATTAGGGGAAAAGTGCATTGCTAAGCCTATGTTTGCATATTATTTTTCTCAGAGGAAAGAGCTATGCAAACTTCTAGAAAAGTTCGAACAGCAAAAGAAAAGCTTTATGGAGACAATAGCTAATCGGAGAAAGTTTCTATCTAGTCTGCCATCACACCTCAAATCCCTTAAGAAAGCATCGTTGCCCGTTCAGAATCAATTGGGTGTTTTGCATACAAAGAAACTGAAGCAGCATCATTCGGCTGAACTTCTTCCACCTCCACTCTATGTGATTTATTCACAGTTCATGGCACAGAAGGAAGCATTTGGTGAAGATATTGATCTAGAGATCATAGGAAGTATGAAGGATGCTCAGGCTTTTGCCCGCCAGCAAGCAAATAAAGAAAATGGTGAGTGATGCTGGTCTTCCTTCTTGTTGTGTGCAACTGTGCATAGCGCAATAGTTGATAGCTCTTTAGAGTTCAGATGTTACTTTACAGTTATACGGTTATTCCGTTTATTACAAGAAAATGGACAAGTAGGCTAGTACAAATGGACATAAACATTCACGTTGAAAACTATGGTTGCTAGTGAAATGAACTTTGTTGTGTTAGGTTAAACTCCTAGGAAGGTGAGTGTAACTAAATCTATTTATTTCTGCAGAGAATTTTCTTTATGATGTTTTTGATTTGTATTTTAATTCAGTTTATCTTCTTAACTCGGCCTCTAACCTTCTCTGGGCTAGCAAATTACTTGAATCTTTTTTCTTTTCACAAAAAAAAAGTTGAAGTGAGTACCGATATTCATTTATTACCAGGTTTATCTACAAGCGTAGAGAGCTCAAGGTTGGACGATGATATACCAGATGAGGAAGATGATGGACAGAGAAGGAGAAAACGGCCAAAGAGGGTTCGTAGTATGGAGGCTGTTGACCATGCGGGAGTCTATCAAGTTCATCCTCTGAAAATTATCCTTCACATATATGATGACGAGGCATCTGATCCTGGATCAGCAAAAATTGTCACTTTGAAGTTTGAATACCTGTTAAAGATGAATGTTGTTTGTGCTGGGATTGATGGATCAACTGAAGGACCCGAGTCTAACATCCTCTGCAATTTATTTCTGATGACTGGCCTGGATCTGCCTCACCAGGTTTGTGTCTATTATGTGCCTTGCTTCCACCTTCACCTTAGCTTTTTTGTCAAGTTTTCTTTTTTATATTGCAGTCAGCCAAGCTCTTCATTGGTGATGGTGCTTCATTTGATGAAAAGAGAACTTCACGCCCATACAAGTGGGCCCAGCATTTGGCGGGAATTGATTTCTTACCTGAGGTTTCACCATTGCTTAATAGCCACGAAGCTCCAAACAGTGAAACCAAAAGTGATGCTGTTATCTCTGGTTGCATTGTATCGCCAGCAGAACCGAGTGCAGACAGTTGTTGAGAGAATCCGGGCACGGATAAAAGCAGAGTTGGCTCTTGCGTGAGTCACTGTCCTGTATGTTTGGAATTTGGATCTTGAAGAAAACAATAAGAAAGCAAATAGGAGTGAATTCCACAATGTGGTCAAATCTTTATGATATAAAGTTCCTAATTTTTGGTTTTAGCAAAAAAGTCTCTGCCTTAGACGCAACTTGTGTGTTGGAATATATAATTTTTTTCCATGTTGGATTGCTCTTTAGCTTGTTTTGTCTTCGGTTTGGTATGTATTTTGTTGAAAATCTGGAATTCTTTCATTGAATTACAGGAAACAGCTTGATTCACTTATGAAGCTTAAATGGCCTGCTCTGAATTGTAAAAGTGTTCCATGGGCCTTGCATGCTCCCATGTGCAGTTTGCATAGTTGGTCATCAGTAGAATCCAAAGTCAGTGAGGATTCATCTCAACCTGTTATTGACACAGCTCCAGTTCAAGAACATATGGATGATATGGATGGAAGATCTGGTATCACGAAGGAAGAGCTGGAGGGTTTTAGGGAAGATGGGGAGCTTCCATCTTTGCTTTCAGTTCCATCTGCGACAATTGATACTAAACTTACTCCACTAAAGGGATCTAGTCTTAACCATTCCAAGCAGTTGGCTTTGATTTCAAAGAGCATTTTTTCCCCAGCCAGTAAGGGAAAATTACCGAGTTTCAAAAAGCATGATGATGATTATGTCTTCATGCTAGAGACGGATAGTGAACTGGATGATCCCCTAGAGACAGAGACTGAAAACTCTTCTACTCAGTACTATGAAATAGTTGAAAAATCATGGGTTGACTATGGTAACAAGGAATTTATTCTTCTTTTAACAAGGAAAATGGCCACAAGTGGGGAGAATATGAAACTAGAAGCCAAGGTGTCAATAATTACTTTGTTCTGTTTTGTTATGTTCATTAACATGGAAACCTGACATGCCAAATTGAACTGTTGCAGATTAAGATCAGTATGGAGTACCCTCTTAGGCCTCCTTTGTTTACAGTGAATCTTTCCTCGGATGGAAAAATTCTTCTGAGAATGACTATTCTGGGTGGCACAATGAAGTTTGCGCTATGGAAGCCGAGGTAAGCCACTAGTATTTCAGATGTAGCTATCTCCAGGAATAGACATGGTATCATTACATGAAGCATAATAATGGGAAATGATAAAAGGTTTAAAACGCAGTGGAGTAGCTTAAGCCCTTTTGCTCAAATGGTACAGTGATGAGCTGTTGATGGTTGAGTTCCACCGATTTATTAGTATTCTCTAGACTTATAAATTGCTTCTCCTGAGAGCCTACTGTTACTACCATCTTTCCCAAGCATTTGCAACAAATTCTCATTCAATGGTTGCATCATGCAGGTAAATCTTCATATGTTGAAGATGGTACCCCCGGATGAAGAAAACTATACATTATCACATCAAGTATACTGTCTTGCTATGTTGTTTGACTATTACATGGATGAGGCAACTCCATCTTCTGAGAAGAGTACTAGTAGTTCTGTGATAGATGTTGGATTGTGTAAACCTGTTAGTGGTAGGCTTCTCGCCAGATCATACAGAGGGAGGGATCGTAGGAAAATGATCTCCTGGAAGGACATGGAGTGC